CAGCAACGTTAAATGCTGAAGAGAGGTCAAGAAGGATGAGGTTGGAGAAAATGCCCTAGGATGTGGCAATGACACAACCAGTGGTAACTTCAGAGAGAGCCGTTTTAGTTGCATAATGTAACTAGAAACCATATTAGAAGGGGTTTGAGAAAAACAGAAGCAAGATGTCTTGGCAAAAAGTGTTCATGAAGGACTGAAGTAGAATGATGGCCATGTGAATGGAGAGAAGGGAAAGGTGAAGGGAATGAGCATTTATTCAGCACCTACCATGTGCCAAGTACTGTGCTAAATGCTTTAAAGAGACCTCATTTGACCCTCACGACAACTCCATGAGGTAGGTGCTATTATGGTCCCCATTTCTCAGATGAGAAAATTGAAGCAAAAAGAGGCTAAGTGACTTGCCCAGAGTCAGACAGCTAGTAAGTGTCTGAGGCCAGAACAGAACTCTGGCCTTCCTAACTCCAGGCCTGGCACTCTGTCCACTGCACCATCTAGCTGCCTCTAGTGGGGCTTAATAGCAGGGATACTGGGATGTAGACATGACAAGACATGGTAGCTAATTGGATATGGAGCAGGACAGTGAAGAAGAATGAAGAGTCACTCACCAGCCAGGGTGATTAGAGACAGAAACAGGAAGTAAAGAAGAGGAGTGAGTTCCCAGGAAAGATGAGCTGTTTTGGACATTAAGTGAGATACCTGTAAGACATTCAGATGATCAAAGACTTAGAGCTGGCAGGACCCTCAGAGGCCACCTGTGGGGTCCACCACTATTCCACAGATAGGTATACTGAGGCCCAGGGAAATGAAGGGATTGCCCCGAGTCATACCGAGAGTAAATGCCAGAGCAGTGCTTTAGATCAGTACCCACTGATTCTAGAGCCAGCAGGCTTCCCACTGGGAGGGGCCTGGAGAGGCCGTATAGTCCACGCCCTCATCTGACAGCCGGGGTGAGGGGGTGTATTGACAGGCCAAGGCTGAAGAGGGAATGCCCCTCAGTGGTCACATCTGAACCCGGCTCCTCTGACTCCAGAGACAGCACCTGTGTAAACTAGGTAACTCTGAGATCACAAACAGAGAGAAAAGAAGAGGGCTCCGAGCAGATCCCTGGGGTTGTATGAGAAACGTACCAACGAGTACAGCAATGTATGGCACCAGTTAAAGATTAACACACCCTATCCAGAAGGACTCCATGAGGCTGAGTATTCTCTGAGAACTCAGAGTGTTTCCAAAAGAGGAGATTTCATTCACAAGGTTGGCTCCACATCCCATCTCGCAGAGGCCCGCCCTCTGGCTCTGCTCTTTCTCTATGTAGATGGCTGACATATCCAAGACTATTCAAGACTGAATACTGAATTCTCTTCCCACATCACTAGCTATTTATTGGAAAATTTCAGATCGAATGTCCTAAGGCTCATCATGTTCAGAATTAAAGTTGTCCTCTTTTCCCCAAACCCTCCCCCCTCTCTAACTTTCATGTTTCTGTTGTCTCAGACACTCCGGTTCCTGTTCTCAGCATCATCCTTGTCATCTCACTACCTCATCCCATCTGTTTCCAAGTCTTGTCAATTCCTATCTGAAGAAGAGCCTGTGCCAGGGCCAGGAAAACCAGGCCTTTGGCCTCAGAGTTTCCACTCTCCAGGTCATCATCCTTCTTCCCGGGGAGCCTCCAAAGGGCTGCCCCTCCCTCAGTCAGCACAGAGGGCCTCCACCAGCACCTTTGACATGACCTACATCTTTGGCCTCTTGTTTTATAGACAGGGAAAAAAGCCCTGGAAGCTTTTCAAAGACGTGACCAAGGTCACAGGAAGTGGTAGCAAAGCCAATGCTCAATCCCAAGGCCCTCTGATTATAAACCCAACATTCTTTTACTACGTCACCATTTTCCAGCTCAGAATCTTCAAGCCGAGAGCTTTGGCTTCTAGGCCCAGACGCTTTGGAAATTAGGCGCTTTCATACTGTCCCCTAAAATTGTCCATTCTCCTGTCACTGTCACAATTAGTAAAATATTATTTTAGAGAAATGAACAAAATTACTTGGGATGAGGAGCTGGAAAGCCTTGAATAGGCAAAGTTTAAGTCCCTGTTAACTCTCTGCTACTTGTGCAACCCTAAGCAAGGCCCTCGATCTCAACGAGCCTCAGCTTTCTCCTTTGTAAGATGCAATTGATCTCCAAGAGCCCTGCCAGATGTAAATCTATGATTCTATAACACGTCACCCTCCCTCCATAAAAGAAAGGGATAGGTTTAAAGACTGGTCCCACAGCTTACTTCAATGGTTCTCCTTGCCCCACCCCTCACCTCCATCACACTACCCCCCCCACCATAGTTTTATGACAGAATCACAAAGTTGTATTACTGAAAAAAATTATTCTGGATCACAAAGGTCATAAGCAATCTACCTACATCAACAATTTCTAGCATTTATTTCTCAAAATTCAGAGGGTACTATTTGTAGAAAGATGCAACACAATTTTATATATTATTCCCTTCATTTTTAACACAGATCCTAAGAACATTCCAGCCTCATCCCACTGTCTTAAGATTAGAAGGGTGACTAAGCTAATGAACATGGGGGGAAGGGGAACATTGAGGAAGCAGCAATTTAAGGCACTTCCAAAATTATTTTTTCACGTTCAACAAAAAAAAAATACAACTAAACCAATTTTGAAGGAAAATGCAGATGCAGAAGAATCTCCCTCATCCATTCAACATAAGAATGGCATTAGATTTTATACTTGCAACTAGATGAAAAATTTTCAAATGAAAGCTCTTCTTCTAAAGATCAGAAAACCATAAGATGCAATTATGATACCGATAACCAGCATTTAAGGCTTCTTCTGGACACTCTCTTCTCACTGGGTTGGGATTTTTTTACGCCACTGAATTATTGCCACTCTTTTCCAGCCTGTCTGACCATTAGTCACGTGGACCCAGTGGGCCTTAGTTCCATCATGTGTAAAATAAGGGGGCTTGGATAACCTCTGATAACCTCTAATGGCCCAGGCAGTTCTAGAGCCAGGATCCTTTGTCCAAAACAGAACTCACCATCCTCCCCCCGGAACCACCTCAACCCTTCACTTCCCTATATCTGTGAGGGAGCAATCCCTCCAGTGGACAGTTCATGACCTCAGAGGCCTCTTCATTGGCTCACTCTGCTTCATGCCCACATCGACTCGGATGCCAAACCTGGAGACTTTACATCCACAACATCTATGGTAACCATCCCCTTTTGGCAGTCCCTGCACACCCATCAGAATTCGGGCCCTGCCTGCCTCTTCCCTATCTCCCTCAGGCTCTCTGCCTCCAGGCTCCCCTCCTCCCATAGCTGCCACATCAATGCTCCTACTCAGGTATGACCACACTCCCCCCAAGACACAAACTCCTTCGCTGGGCACTTAAACCTCTACACCACCTGGCTACAGCTCATCTTAGCCGGCTAATTACAGCGATCAGTGCATCCCATTCCAGCCAAACTGGTCTTGTGACTCCCACACATGACAACCCACCTCCTCCCTATGACCCCTAGGTCTGGAATGCTCTCCCTCTTCCCCTCCCCAGCTCCCTTGAAGGCTCAAGTCAAATCTTGTGATAACTGATCAGTAAACACGTGACAACATTAGAACGTAAGCACCTTGAGCACAGGGTCTATCTCACTTTTATAGTTGTATCCCCAATGCCTTAAGTACACAGTAAGCATTTAATAAATGTCTGTTTGATTGATTGTGTCTCCATTCTCTGCTCCATCCTCCAAGGAGCCATCAAAGTAATTAGCCTAAAAGGCAGGTGATGTCACTTCCTGACCCAGAAGCTTTCAGGGGCTCCCTGCCTCTTGTATCACAGATACCTTTGGCCACCTGGTGAGGTCTCCAGACTCTTCCTCAGAATGTTTTTAAATGTATGAAATAAAACACATAGGATTACAAAGGAAACCAATTTTACTTAAATACAGTTGTCCAAATATTTTTAAAACCAAGTTCCTAGACCCTTGAGCAGGCAGGCCCATAGACCTAACCACAGGGCGGGTTAAGAACCCATGCTACAGGATCCTTGGCACTGCTTCGCCATTGGGCTCCAGGCAATCATGGAGTCCAGACTCATTGCCACATTCTCCACTCCAGTCAAACTGATCTGTTTGCCGCTTTAGAAAGTTGCATTCATCTCCCACTTCCTCATCCCACCCTAACTTGTGCCTCTTGGAATTCTCAGTTTCCTTCAAGGTTCAGTTCAGGTGCTGCCCTCCCATGATGCCTTTCCTGACTTCTGATCCCCCTCTCCAATTTGTTAGTGCTTTCTCTCTCCTCAAATGGCCTGTATTGAGATGGGGACATGCTACAACCCCCAATAAAAATGCACGCTCCTGTAAAGCAGAGACTGATGTTGGTTTTTATCTTTAAATCTCCAATAACTAGCAAAGCTCCTTGCATACAGGAGTCAATTAATAAATTTCTTGTTGAAATAATAAGTTTCTTGCAGAACTAAATTGAGTTTTAAAAAAGGTGCTCCATCATAAAGGCAAACAAGCAAATAATAACAACCTTCATGGAAACCATTTTACTTTTTGAGATTTTTATGGTAATGTTTATAAAGTAATGACTCATCAGTGCTAAAACTATTCTTTTCCCATGCACTTTACCTCCAGAACCACAATGCATATATGTCTGATATCTTAAAAAGACATAAACCCGGATGGATCAATAAGCTAGACCAACTGTCTGGGATTACTTAAATTGATTAGAGACCCACAGTAGTCTATCTGTAGCTTTTTTTTTTTTAACGTGTGAATTCTCAGCATGGAAAGTATATGGATGTTTACACTAAGAGTAAAATCATTTCAGTGGGACCTAATTTTTTGATTCATTAGCCTATAGTTTTTGTAAATAAGACTAGAAAAACAACAGAGCTGATTAAATAGGTTATTGTTCTCTAAAGACTACAACCCATCACACTTTTTTTCATGAAATTCATTTTACAAAACCTGCTCACCAGACTCAAAGCTCTTACCTTAAGTATGTGCCATAGATGAAAAACAAAGCCATCATCAGTCCATTTAATAGAAAAATCACTGCGACATAAAAGCAGGCAGGGTCGCCCAGGCCTTTAAAAGACAAACAAAACGTCTCACTACAGTTTAAAAATCTACAAGTACACGTGGTTTTCGGTTCTGAAATACTGACAAATTTCTTAATAGACTCCTTCAAAGGTACTGAAGAGTCACACCCCCACTCTTTTTCGGTACAAATGACTGCAGGACATGAATTAGAAGCACAGCATTACCCTCCACAAAAACTTGCCTTCACAGCTTTCTATAGGACTAAGCCCTTCTCCTCGGGTAACGGTCCAGCATATCTTGGTCTGAATGCCAAACAGGTCCATTATCCAGGTATATATGCGATACCAGCTGGCTAAGACTACCTAAAAAGAAACAAAATTGGAGACAGAAAAGGACAGGCCTTTGTCGATGATGGTCATGAGTGCCACAAAGGGTTCAGGGACACTAGCCCACTTTTTCTCCTACTTTTCCCATCCATTTTGCTCCCTTCACTCTCTTGGTCTTGAAAATTCTCTTTGATGCAACATGCATGTTTCTGGGCCATAATTCTCACTCCCATACTTCAGCTCTATTTTCTCAAGAATGTCTTAGCATCACAAAGTCAAAGACCACAAATTTAGGTCTGGAAGGGTCATGTAATCCTATCCTATCATTTACTGATGGGGAAACTGAAGCCCAGCAAGGTCCCCTGACTTACACAAAGTTGCATAGGCATTAAGGGGCATACCTGGTACTAATTCCTCTAATTCCAAAGTCAATGCTTTTTCCACTGTGCCCTAAACACACAGGCACCTTATACACAGAGACTGAAAAGGTTCTCCAGTTTTTATATTATAAAATCGTGCCTGAACTAAACCAGAGACTCAAAAACCAGGAACCACATCTTTTCTGTCTTCCTAACCCATATCTGATAGCACCCAATCAACCAATCTATCGACTGGGCAGCTAAGTGGCACCTGTGGATGGAGTGCCAGGCCTGGAGTCAGGAATCTGACCGCAGACACTTCCTGGCTATGTGACCTTGCACAAGTCATTTAACCCTGTTTGCCTCAGTTTCCTCATCTGTAAAGTGAGCTGGAGAAGGAAATGGCGAACCACTCCAGTATCTTTGCCAAGAAAACCCTAAATGGGGTCACAAAGGGTCAGACATGACTGAAAATGACCAAATAACAACTTATCCACCAACCAATCAATAAACATTTATTAAGTATCTGCTATGTGCCACTCACTGCGCTAAACACTGGGAATAAAAATACAAACAACCACACAATCTCTACTCAGAATGAGCTCACCCACTAGCAAGGAAGACAACCATAAGTGCATGTGCATGCATGCACACACACACGTGTCTACAAACACATGTGTATGTGTGTGTGTGTATATAAATATATGCGTGGACAGCATGTATGTGTGTTAGCACACAGATACACACGTGCACAGGCATGCACACAGATACACACACACACACACACACACACACACACACACACACACACACCCCAAACAAAAAGATAAACACAAGTAGTGAAATACCAAGTCATTTCATCAGCAGTTGGGGGGGCGGGGAAGGGAGGATAAGGAGAGGCTTCCTGGAGAAGGTAGTGCCTGGGTTGAAGAAAGGGATTTTATGAGGCAGCAGGGAGGAAGCAGTTCATTCCAGGCCTGGGGGAGAGCTAGGGCAAAGACATGTGACAAGAGATCATTCTCCTGGCCATGTGACCCCTCCTCCTCAGTCTCCTCTCCTGGACCCTCAGGTCACAACTAGTAACTCCAGGTGTCCCCCAGGTTCTGTCGTGGATCCTCTTCTGCCTCTACACCAGCTCATGATCTCATGAGTTCTGATGAGCTCAATGACCATCTCCATGCAGATGATTCCCAGATTAACCTCTCTCCTGAACCCCAACTGTACCTGGGACATTTCCAACTGAACGTCTCACAGACTCCTCAAGTTGAACACATCCAAACCAGCACACATTACCCCCCTTCTGATTTCCCCGTCACCGCCTGGGTCACCACCATCTCCCCACTTTCCCAGGTGCCCAGCTTTGGTACCAACCTCACTTCTTCTCTCAAGCCCACTCGGCCTCACACCATTTCTATGTCCCATTCTCTTCACTCAGACTGCCAGCCCAAGTCCAGGCCTTATGCTGCATCAGCTGCCTGCTTCAATCTCTCCCCACTCCTGCCCATCCTCACAACTGCACAAGTGATTTTTCTAAAGAACAGGCATGACTCTCACCACCTCCCCCTAGTCAATAAACTTCACTAGCTCCCTATTATCCTCAGGATCAAATCTAAAAATCTGTTTGGTACTGAAAACCCTTCAATCTGCTAATACTTTACTTCCTTCTACTCTGAACCTCTCACTGCTCCTCACATAGGGCTCTCCATTTCCAGACTCCATGCCTTTTCAATGGCTGCGCCCCATGCCTGGAATGCTCTCCCCTCACCCTCCTCCAGCTCCTGGCTTTCCTGGCCTCCCCGTGCCTTAACTCCTCCACTGCCAGTGCCTTCCCTCTGACATCAGCTTCCATGATCTCTCTTGTATGTGTGGTTTCTTCCTATGTTATCTCCACCAGTAGGATGAGAGATCTGGGAGGACTGGGATCATGTTTTTGCCTCTCTTTGTACCATCTGTGCTTACCCCAGTGTCTGGGACTTAGTAAGTGCCACTTTACTTAGCCAATACTCAGTGACTGCTAACAGGAGAAGAGACTCCTCTCATCTATGAGAAGCAAAGCGAAGGCCAGTTTGACTGGATCTCAGATCACAGTAGGGGGAGTAATATACAATGAAGCTAGAAATTGAGGCTGGGGGCCAGGTTTTAGAGAGCTTTGCAAGTGCACAGAGCTGGTAGGCGGAGGCTGAAGTTGATGGGTCACTTGAGTACAGGAGTTACGAGCTACAGCGGCTCAAAAGCTGCTCAGGGTCTGTACGTGATCAGGCTCTGGGAGTGCAGGGCGAGCAAACTACCTACAAAGGGCAAACCAGCCCATGCGGGAACAATGGAGTAGGTGAATGCTTCTATGCCTGTCAGCACTGGGTATCCAGCACTTTCAGCCAGGGTGAAATGGACAGATACAGTCTCAAAAAGAAAAAGTGAAACCATTTTAGAAAAGTTTATCCTCAAGGCAAAAGAGAGTCAGTGGGGAAGTCACAAGGTCAAATCTTAAGGAAATGCTGCAATGTAAAGCATGGAACTGAGTGCGGTGAAACCTGAGACAGAGACACCAGTCCATAGGCTGTTACAGGAACCAAGGGGAGAGGGGATCAGGACCTGAACTGAGTGATTGGTGCTATGAACAAAGAGACAGGGTTGCATGTAAGAGAAGGCAGAGAGGCAAAACCTGGCAGGTGATTGGCTACATAGGGTTAGGTTGGAGAAAACTCCAAGATTACAAACTTAGGAGACTGCAGAACGATGATTTCTTCAACAGAAATAAGGAAGTTTCATCTACTTTGAGGATGCTCAGTGAGATGAATAAAGTACAATTATACAAAACTCATCAAGCGATTTCAACACAGAAGATTTTCATTGAAACATCTACTTATTTTCAATTATTTGTAGGATTTCATTAGGATGGGCACTCCCTCCTATACTGATGTATATTTCAGCTCTATTACATAATCACAGAATATAGAAAAGGGACCATAATCTGGAAACAATAGGAGTACTCATTTCAATGGAATCACAGATCTTTCAAAGAATAAATTAAGCAAATATGTAAACCAAATGAACAGGATGGGCATTCTTAAATATAAGGCCACTTCAGAATTTAAGGAACTAATAAGTACATATTTGTTGCATGACAGGCACATTCTGGAAATTATAACAGACGAGAGGAAGATGGGGGTAGTGGTGAGAGTGTGTGGCTCCTATTGGGGGATTAGTGGCACAATTTTTGGGAGTGCAGCCAGACAAAAAGGAAGGTATGTTGTATAATCTCACACCAAGGACTTCCTCCCCTGAAGCTACAAAAAGAATATTTCCCTTCGTGCTCTCAGCCTTCACTGCTAGGAGTTTTCCCATCATTGATGATAGAGAAGAAAGGTCTCATTTCCCTTCCCTTCCCTTGTCTTTCCCTTCACTGCTCAAGCTAGTGACACAACTCTACATAATCATAGGTATGTACATCAGTGCATGGCTTTATAAATGTTCCTGGCATCAGACAGACACTGGCCAGAAACTAAGGCTATCTTCAGGAGCAAAATTTAGGAAAAAGAGAATCAATTTTATGAATTTTGTCAAAGTCACACAACTGTGAATTTCTGAAGCTGTTATTACTCCATACTTTTCTACACTTGCCACACTCCTCTTCCTAGAAGGAAATTAGTCCTAAGTCCCACGGCTGATGGACAGACTATACCTCTTCAGGGCTAAAGAACAACTATAAAGACCTCACTTATGTGTTTGTGGAGAAACTGGTGTCAAATTATTTGTAGATGACTTGCTTCTGGGTAGGGGTTGTGTACAAAACAGAACAGCTACCTCAGTGCAATCTACTCAAAATTAGCCCTTGACACAAAACATTTTGAGGGGCTTTGAGGGGAATGGGTGCAATGGAATGAGCCCTGACTCTGGAGTTGACGGACCTGGGTCCAAGTCCCAACTCTGCCTCCAAACTACTCTTAAACAACACTTCATATCAAATTCTAGAGTGCCAGAACCAACAGAATGTCGGGTTCAATCATTTTCCAGGCCAAGACAAGGTCTGTCTCATCGAGTGGTGATAGGTCCTGAGAGTACAATGCAGGTAGAGTAGGCCCCACCTTGTGGAAGGCGCCTTAAAGGAAGCAGCAGCTTCAAGAGCTCCCATTCCATGGACGGTATGACAGCAGCACCATTGGTCAGAAGGAGATTGCAGGGGACCCTCTGCTGGAGCAGGGTTCAGGACCCATACACAGTTCCAGGTTGCAGTCCCAGGGCCAAAAGGAGTGACAGCATTTGTAGCCACAGGGAAACAAGGACCCAGGTCACAGTTCCAAGGCAGAGAGGAGAGCTTATGGTCACTCCTGAGGGAGTAGAGACCCTGGCTACAATTATAAAACAGAGGGGACTAGCAGCAATTGAGGTTCCAGAAGAACAGGGAACCTGGTCACCATCTCAGGACCGGAAAGAGTGTTAGCGCTGGTGGATATACAGAAACAAGGTCCCTTCCTGGGTAAAGACGAGAGCACAGAACAGGAAAGCAGTGATCATACCACTTTGGAAGCATCAAAAGCCTACAGACCCCTAGAGCTAGCTCTGAAAACAGTAGCAAGAAAGGCCTGAAGAAGAAAGGCCCCCTCCACCCTGGGAACAATACCCAGTGAAGATCAAGACACAAACTCAGAAGAAGACAATGATGTCAAAGCAGCTACA